TAACTTTTTTTTAGTAATTTAAAGAAGAAACCAATCCGATGTATATTTGACATTTGAGGTTTAATATAGAAAAGCACTAAAGTTTTTTCAGTTAGAGTGTTTTCAGCTTGTTTATTTTCATATAAAAATACGGCATGCAGTTACATCAAACAATGGTATAAACATCATTCAATGTAAATTGTCATAATCGTAATTAACAATCGCAATTACAATTTCAAGGGAATAATCGACAATTATGATTTTTGTCATAATCGTGCAGCCCTAATATGAATGCATCTGCACACTACTCGACTCAAGCACACATTAAGAAACCCCTTGACACGGCTGACGGGTTCGTGGTCCCTAGAATAATTGCAATGGATTTTCAATCACTTGTCACTTTAAAAATATTAGTATAGTACTTTTCACATTACAACTGATTCCAAAACAGTAAAAAAAAAAAAACTGCACCTTACAATCTCCAACAAGCAAGACAACCAAAGCGAGGGAAATTTTTTTTTAAAGGGACAGTTCAACATGTATGACTTAATTTCTTCTGTGGGACATAACACTGGACCCCATTGACTTTCATTGTATGGACAGAAAAAAAACTTCTATATCTTTACTATCTTCTTTTGTACTCTACAGAAAAAAAAAAAAATGCATATAGTTTTGCATGACGGTGAATGAATGACCTATTATCCTTTTAAGATTCTTAGGTAGGCAATTATAAAACTTTGGAAAGAACTAAATCCAAGCTCAGGCTAGGACACTGAATAAAAAAATTAAAAAAACTTTAAAAAAATAAAATAATAATAATAAATATAATTTTGAATAATAACTGAAAAACACTTAAAATCATTTATAATGTGGAGTAATTGATAATTATATTTATAATAATTTATAATTATCATAATGTTCATATTAATAATAATAATAATAATAATTAGGGATGTAACGATTAACCGCGAGCCCACTTTTATCCAAAGCAACTTACAAATGAGGACAATAAAAGCAATCAAAACCAACAAAAGAGCAATAATATGCAAGTGCTATATTAGTATATTATTATAGTGTTATATTTCAATTTCACTAAGAAACGTGCAGCATTTTGTCCAAGCAATAATAAAAGGACACATTTAATTAATAATTTGTCTTAAATCTCATTTTGTAAAAAAAATAAAATAATAAAAAACCATGAATAGAATCGAATCGTGAAATCAAAATCGTGAATCGAATCGAATCGTGAGTTGAATGAATCGTTACATCCCTAATAATAATACAAACATGCATTGCACACTATTGATTCAAGAGTGAACACAGCTCAGACTGTTTTTAAGACTAATTAAATGGGTCACGGTCAAATGCTGACCTATAAACACTGAATATTATCACGCTTGACTAGAAACACTGACCGGATTGTACTGAGGTCACACAGAACTTTAGCAATAAACACATGCTGTCGCAAGCGGGCCGTTGTGTGCAAGGGAGAGATCAACTCTGACAGATCTGTTCCTGCGGAAGACACATTCTCCCTCGCAGGCAGTTAACAGTTCGTAAAAAGTCCAGAACTGCCTTTCCTTGAGGACTCATGGACACATATATATAGTTACGCATGCTAATGTACAGGCAGCAGACACATTCCTTCAGATGCATGTACTCCTGCCGACACACACACACACACACACTCCCTGAGGGGACAGTGGAAGGTATATTTGCTGTGCGGAGATGAGTCAGGGCCGGGTGAATTAGAGCTGGCACACTCCTTTATGAGAGGAAAACATATGGAAAGAGGAATAGTGGGGCGTGGAGAAGAGAAAGACTTTTACTACCTGGACCAGCCTTTACTGGCACAGTCAACACACAAACACACAAGGCTGAAGCACTCAGTCAACAAGAAATCAAAATCTACTTTTGTAATACACATTCCTTTTAGTGCAAGTAGGGCCCTATGATTTCCGCGATGCGGAAAACGCGGACGGAATCGCGGAATCCAGTCATAAAAACGGAATTCAGAGTTTAAGGCGGAATGTCACGGAATTTGTCAAATTTTGAATGAATTAATCAAAAGTAAGTTATTACACTTAAATCAAATCGTGATATGGACTAGTATTTGTAAATATTAAGCCGCAAAAGTCCATTTAAATATGAATCCTGCATGTTCTGCGTGTCTCTTGTTAATGAATGGCGCAGACTCGCGGTTTCATTTACTACACACATACTGAAGCGCGCGTGACACTCACGGTGATTTCAGCGTCTGCCGTCTCACTAAATGAGGACGTAAACACATGAACAACATCTCGATTTAAATATGAATCCTGCATGTTCTGCCTGTCTCTGTTAATGAATGGCTCAGACGCGCAGTTTCATTTACTACACACACACTGAAGCGCGCATGACACTCGCAGTGATTTCAGCGTCTGCCATCTCACTAAATGAGGACGTAAACAACACATGAACAACATCTCCAGAACTGCTCTGAGAGTCACTTCATGAGCATTTTAGCATTTGATTTGAGTAAAACTAGAGTCATATCTCATACACAGAACTGTAAAGGTATTCCACGGCAACCCGTCAAAATAAAAGTCCGGTTTGATTTGAAGACTGTGCCTATCACTATTTTTCAGTAGTATGTAGCTACATAGCCTACTACTACTACTACTAAAATGAAACAAACATTATTTTTTAAGGAATAATCACACAACATTTCTTCCATGTTTTAATTTGAATAGTAAACCCCCTTCGTTTGCCAAAAAATAAAGTTTGCTTAATTTTCAATAATTAAAAGATAAATTAAATTAATGTTTTATGCCTTCATTTGATAACCAGAAAAATATAAATACACAACACAGAATTTCTGAGGGAAAAAAATTCATAAGGCTACTTTAAAAAAAAAAAAAAAGCAAAACAAAAATTTGACATGTTAAAACACAGAATTTGGTAACAATAAAAAATATGGTGAGAAAAAAATAAAACATTTCATAGGGCCCTAAACATGTAATTTTGTTAAACTTTTAATAAATTCATGTGAAAATGTATAAGTTTCATGGTTTTAATTAATTAGGCATGCTTTTTGATTAATAAAATGTAATTTAACTATTAAAAAGGAGTCAGCTTTGCATCACAGGAATAAATTCAGCTTTGCATCACAGGAATAAATTATAACTGAAAACATATTTAAATAGAAAACAGTTCTTTTAAATTGTATATTTCACAATATTATTATTTTACTGTATTTTTGATCAAATAAATGCAGCCTTGGTTAATGTAAAAGAGATTCAAAAACATTTAAAAAATCGTACAGACCCAAACTTTTGAACAACAGTGTATAAATGATTCCTCAAATCACGTGTCTTGTGCTATTATTACTATTCACTTCTATTACTAAGACCCTCTGAAGACCTACGCAACCACAACAATCACCTAAAACACTCTAGCAACCAGCTATCAACTGCTGAAAGCACCTAAGCAACCACTTAATACAGTTTCCAGATTTTGACAGGGTCATAAAAAAAATCTACTTTTAATTGTTCTTTCTTTGTTTCTTTTTAACGTGAATTACGAGTGAAGGTCTAAGCCTGTTCACATGTACTCGCTCCATTCAGCTCAAATGTCCAGAGAAACCATTCACAGTTTCTGTTGTTTATAACCAGAGTGTTAACCTCCTGTGTGGAATCAGTCATTTAGCTCCGTCTGCGTCAACGCTAACAACAGACATAACTCAGACGTAAAGATGGTCATAAAGCAAGCTGCGATAAATTTGTCACCAGGTGGTTTCCATTTGGAGATGGAGAGAGCGAGAGTTTTCTCCTCCTTTTGGGAGGCTCTATAAATCCTTCCCATTTCCGGACCATTCTGTGGGGGTGCTCATTCCAGGGGCCTGTATGGGACTTTTAATTTGTCTATAACTCATATTCAGAAATGTACGGTCCTTGTGCCTCAAGTCTACAGGGAATATATTATGCGCTTATATAAAGGAAAGCAAAGTGTTGACTCACAGCAGATACCTCTGATATAGCCGAACACATTTTCTATTGAAATTTCATTTCAATAAGGGGTGAAATTTTGTTAGACATGAAAAGTGATCTTTTCAGGAACACATAACATGACGAAGGAAAAAAAAAAAAAAATGCCTAAAGGAGATGTCACATTTATTTCTGAACCAATGCTGCCCTCTAGTGTTCCTTAGAGGAACATCTTCTGGTTAACAGTCCGGTTAGGAATTGACAACTGGTTCTTATTCGGAACTGGTTCCGTTTTAAGACCCAGATGATTATAATAACATTAGGTTTTCTTAAAGCAGTGGTTCTCAAACAGGGAGCCGGTGCACACCTAGGCACCTTAGCAAACTTCCAGCGAGGCCTCAAAATGGCTTAATTTAAAAGAACACAAAAAAAGCATTAAAATTGGCATTTTAGTCAGACCAGTAAAATAACACAACACAAAGTCATTGGGTCTTCAAATATTGTTGTGGACAATGAGGGGCCTTAGAGTCAAAAAGACTGAGAACTACTGCTTTAATTGTTTTTAAGCCTCTGAATCAATGTACAGATTAATGTACTACAATTTTCTGACAATATTTCCATTGCTACAACTGATTCTGCAACACAAAGGCCATAGACCTTTAGCATGCAGGAATTTGAGTTTGCAGTCTGAACTGATGACGTGATGAGAAAGACATAATGGGAATTGCAAAACAATATACACTAACGAGACAACACATCTTTCTGTTGTGAGGACCACTGGTTGTCCACAACAGCAATGCCTTTCCAGTGTAGAATGATTGACATCTAAATTACCTTGACGAACCAATTACTTTTAATAAATTGGTAAAAAAAAAAAAAAACTCAAAAATCTGTTTCAAGCATACTGTATTAGTTATTAGTCAATCACTCCAATGACTCACTCACGGACTGAAACGATCCAAACTCACAACGAACAAACAACAGTACATTATTTGTACTTGAAGCTCATGAGAGTTAAAGTATAAATGCTAAAGATGCAGATTCTATGAGACTGACCTGGTTTGGGTGTAACATTAGTGGTTTTCTCTGCGTCGTCTCTGGGCGTTGTTGGTGCAGTTGAGTTGGTGGTGTCTGTGTCTGGGCTGGTGCTGATGTCCTGTACTTCACTGTGGTCTATTTTCAGAGGGTCTTGAGGAGGTGGTTGAACACCCTCTTCATGCACAGAGTCCATGGGCTCTCCTAAAAAAAATCAACACTTGCACATTTAAGATAACCATATTCACAATGCCACTCATGCAGTCCACAGGGAATCACTCAACTCGCACTGCCTACCTTGGACCATCAAATTATGCAAATCATTTGAAAAGAAAACCTCAATTGGTTGCATTTACATACACACTCACACAAGTTTTAAATTTGTATGTCTAAATGGTATGAAATAGGTCTTGATGAGGAAGAGACTCTAGTTGCAAGCACAATTTTACGTCTTAAAACCCAACCAAAATTGTCATACACAACACTGCACAAACAAATCATGCACAGGAAAAACTAAATATGGACAAAAAGACAAAAGGAGAAGAAAACTGCGAACTATGGCTGAGATAACACATGATGCATGGATGACAGGAAGGGCATCAGGTTAATGTCTGGCCTACAGCACAGAAAGCGCACCTGACAAAAACGACTGGGTTTTTCCTGCAGCTATAGCCACTGTCCTCTGAAGTATGGAAGAGAGAGGCTTTAGACGACCTTTGATATCGTCTAACAAACCTGGGATGGTAAACCAAATCAGACCAGACCACAAGATATAAGAAACAGACAGAGGCTATACCTGTAGAAAACACTGGCTTTGGGATGAAACTCTTCTTATATTGGCTCCAATTAGGACTGGGCAATATACTGAATCATATATAACCAGATATGATTTGCTGCCAATGTTAAATTAAGTGACACTGTGAAAATAAGAGTTATTTTAATGGAGAGTTCACCAGTTGGTAAGTTTGATTCCTTCAATCAATTCAAACTGTCAGTTTCACTGAATTGATTTCAAAGTGATTCAAAGATTTGTTAGTGTCATCACTCAGAAAGGTTCGTGGAAGTCATTGTTGCATTTTTCATATATTAAATGTCTCAGTATAAATATATCTGTACTACATGTATTTATTGTTATATAGGCTACATTGTTATACTTGTGCATATACAGTCAATGAAAATGATTAAATATTCCAGTGTTCATTTTGAATCTGCTTTCAATGCTGAAATTTTGAATCCTCTATTGGACAAATAAACCATCATTTCAAGCCATATCAGAGATAATTCATAACTTAAGATAAATACTGAATATCACCAAAAGCTGTAATTTATTGGTCAGCTCAAGCTCAAAAGTAAACAATGAAGCCTCTTCGGTTTGTGGAAGGCATGCAAGTCACACATTTTATGCTATTTTCTGTCAATGTTAGAAAGTAATGAAGAGCTTTGTCAAATTAGTTTACGAAACACGGACAAAATAAACATCCAACATAGCATCCAGCTTCATGCGTGTGGATCTTGGCATTGCTGTGTGAATGTTGGGCCTAAATCACCACCAGCAACCTGATATCCAGTAAACGGTGCTCACCTTCATGGTGACCCTCATCATGCTTCTCTACTGGCATCTCTCCTTTGGAGAGGAACCTATTCACTTTCTTCAAGGTCTTTTTGTGAGTCTTCGATGGATGGAAGTTCAAAGCATGGCACCTTCATAAAACAAGTACAGCAGCACAGTAATATATAAAGAGAGTGAAAAGGACACGTAACATATTTGACATCTTGCAAACTGTTCATTAGCATGTCTGAGCTGCAATATATACATTTAAAAATGTAACAATACATTTAACTATCAGATATTAATTTTATTATACCTCAGAGTATCCTACTGTATATAGTCAAAAAAAAAACATTTGATTCATTTACCTGATGGTGTACTGTGGGCAGCATGTCTTATTCATAATAGGTTTGTAAACATATTTGCCACTTCTAAAAAAAAAAAGGAGAGATCGATTTAATTTAAATATAATATAATTACAATTTAGGCACACACAAACCACTGATTATCATAAATAATCATAAATGATTAATGGCCATTTATGCAGGGCTCACTACTAACTATACATTAAAATTCACATTCAAATTGTTATAATAAATGATCGTTCATTTAAACTGAACATATTTTATATAAATCAAATACGTTTTTTTTACACTTATTTGAAAATGTAGTTGTTGTTTTTTTTTTTTGCTGAATATTGCACTCAAATAGATCACATCAAGTCCAGAAAAATGGTCTAAAATGATGGTTTCAGGCAGTGTGCCTGTCAAGTGCACAAAAACCCATTTGTCTGGTTGTAAGAGGTCTGTGAGACAGCTCAGGGAGTATGTCTGATTCGGTCACTGTGTTAAGCTCATTACACTGACCAGACTACTGCATCCTGTTCATGTGTAATAGTGTTTCCTGCTAAGACATTATGCAAGAAAAACTGTTTATGCAGCACATGATTTAAAGTCAGAAGACTATATTTTAAAACACGCAGTTCAGAGGTCAGACAATAATAAGATCGGCACCTTCTCCAGCCTCTGTCGATGAGATCTTGGTAGTCCTGCACTGTCATAGTATGGGACCACATGCCTAGAGAGAGAACAGCAGCATTTAGAACATACACCACAAACTTAGGATCAACCTCTTAAATAAAGCCATGCACGATCACTTGAACACTTAAGAAGCTGTGTGTGCATGCACCACAGCAGGAGGGCATCTGATGCCTGTGTTATACCCATGTGTACTGTAGATATGAGAGTCAAATGGACCCCTGACAGCAAATCTCAGTGACACACTGTTCACAAAGGGAAATGTTTCCTTTGACGTCATGGAGAATTAAGCTCCCACACAAGGACAAGTACAGGACATCAGTCCTCAAACTCTGAGAATCCTCTCAGTTTTTGGCTGTGGGGTTAAGATGTCTCTTTATCTAGATTGAGCTATAACGCATTTAATGAAAACAGTGAGGAGATCTTTGACACACAGAAGATTAAAGAGACTCCTGTCACTGCCTTGTGGATTAAAGACATAATTATCAAAACCATACAATACTGACAAGACATTTTAATAAAGATGCATATCCACAACTAAAAATTAGTGACTGATACCATACATTTGTCAAAGCAAAATGGCCATATCAATAACAAGAGGGCAGGCTGATATATAAATGTGGTTATAGGCTAAAATAATTGTCACTTGAGACATATACATCCATTTTTTTATATAATTTTTACTAAAAATTGACAAAAAATATTTGAAAACAAAGTTAGACTTGGTAGATTTTGGAAAGATTTTGGACACAAGGGGGTGCTAATGCTTCTTTTAATCTGCTGAACAGGAATGGTTCAGGTACAATCAGTACATTTATAACGATTAAAAAATCCTGTATCAATAAATGGAGTTTTCCATTTATTGATTTTGAGTGATAATAAAGTTGAAATCTTTCAATGAATGATATTAGGACATCAGCCAATTTTTTTATTGTTATCGTTTTTTTTTTTACATTCAAGCATTTTTTTAAGCATCATGATGGATGTATTTTTGCAGATGGTTTTTATTTACTTGAATTGTCCACATCACTTACATCAGAAGGGTCAGATTATTGTCATGCTAATGTTAGTATTATTAATATATTATTTTAGTCGTTAATATTTTAAACTTATAATGCTTTTAATGTTTTTAAGATATTATATATTAATGATTTGATTTTTTTTTTTCATTTTAATTTATTTAAAGCTTCAGTCATTTTGTTTTGTGTTTGTCATTTTTATTAGTTTATGATCTACATGAATATGTCTATGTAGTTTTATTGTTTATTATTTTTGCCACACCTTTTCTGTAATCTAGAGCTTTCCCTTTTTAAAGAGCATGCTTTATTCAAATAAGAAAAGGTGGGTAAGTGAATAGTCTTTTAAACGTTAAACATAATGGAAGTGAACAGCTTTTGATGAATACATCTGCAAAATGTGAATGTAAATTAACAAGAAATGTATTAATACTTCCTGAAACCAGGCCAGGAAAAGCAGGCACTCACTTTTGAGCCCTACAGAGGCCAGGCCGACAGTTCTCAGAACAAAAACAAACAGGTGATTCAATAGAACAGAACACGACACAATCCAGAAACAGCCATTAAGCGACATCAGTCAGATCACCACAACAAAAACAACAAGAGGTTTGTTTTTACCTGACTTATCATACATTAATCTAACCAATACGAGGGCGCCTGTTTTTCATCACACAATAGCCCCTGATTTGGGTTTGAGGCAGATAAACAAGCCCTAAAAAGGTGAGTAATCATCTCAAACACAATGCATGCTCTCCACATCCAAAAAAAAAAGACATCACTGGCAAACAGTTCAGGCCTAGAGCACCACACAACAGTTAGTCTGTGCCCTGAAACGACAGACCTCAGTACCCGAAGAACCACATCCTGTGCCAGCTTTGCGATTCAGTACAAAACACCATCTGAATGCCCTACTCAAAGTAATAATCAAGTAAAATAATTAAATAGAATCTGCTCTGAATCTTGACCTCTAAACCAGTAGAAATAAACAATGTATTTTTGCAATATTAGGCTGGGACCCCTTCTTAGAGAAGTATAGTTTCAGTCAGATCCAAACAGTTAAATATGGGATGACTATAGCAAAAAAGAAAATTTTGTTGATGTGGAACAAAGAGTCTGCGCCTAAATTTGAAACTTGGCTTACAGAGCTCAGTAATGTGTTACATATGGAAAAAATTAGATACGAGATTGCGGGTAAACCAAAGAGATTCGTACAGATTTGGAAGCCCTTCTTGGAATATTTTGAAGGTGACCCATGATAACTGAATTTAACCCTTTTCTTTATGTAGGGTGGTTAATTTAATAAAATAGCAGTGTGTAATAAATATATATTTCCATAATTGGGTATTTATTGGTATAGGAAGGAATAACCAAAAGAATGGTTTTTTTTTTTTTTTTTGTGTATATTTAGAGATGGCTGTATGTGCTCTTGTATAGATACACAAGTATGAACGATGTATGTTTATGGAGATGTATATGTATACTATATGTGGGTGTATGTATATATGCACGATTACATTGATTAGTGTCATTAGGGTTTTTTTTTCTTTTCTTCTTTTCCCTTTGATTTGCTGGCATGGGGGGGTTGGGGGATTGTTCTCTAAAAATGTGAAAAGCTTAAAATAAAATATTCAAAAAAAGAATCTGCTCTGAACATTGTCTTAATAAAACACTCACAAACAGGTTTTGAGAGTGCTATTTCAGTCGCAGGTCATAAAGTATCTTATTATAATTTCAAGTGGTCCTAATTTGGGGATGTAAGAACAGGTATGGCTATACAGCCTACTGTGTTTATTAAACTTTAAAAGAAGATTTCATTAAAGAAATAAATGTGCAGCACATTTCAAAGAGAAGGCTCACACATTCAGAGCCGTTCACAATCAATTAACACTTTAAATTTATTATCTACTGTTGATGAATTATAATAACTAGGTGTTAATATTGTAATATGCGACAGTGTGAGTTGTGTGAGTGCATATTTTATCTGCCTCATGGTTTTGAATGAGCAGTCAGTAACAGTTAAACACAGACATTTCAAAATAAGAGTCCAGATAAATTTCATGGTTGTTTATAATTAAAAATTGAAAATCATTCATTAAGTACTTTTTCCTGGTTAATACTGTTATTTTGTATCTAGCATTTAAAATACTTAAATTGTAATAAATTAAATGTCTACTTATATTTGTTGCACTCATGCAATCATAATTTTGCAACAGAAGCATGTGTCTGACGGGATTCAGGCTGTGTGTCTTCTCTGGGTTTAGCATTAGCCCGGTATAATGCAATCTCATTGCATAAATTTGATTGGAGAGCGATAAAGTGAAAGGTTTAAGACAAGTCATTCACCTCTATATAGTTATGCCAATCCTTATATCATCCAGCACCAGCTTTTCCTGCATTTCCACTAAGTGCTGATCTTTATGGTAACTGGTTAGTATACTTTGCAAAGAAAAGTTACACACAACATTAATTCAGCACAAATAAGAGAAAGCTGTATTGTTCAAAAGTCAAGGTGAAACCAAGATTGATCCGATTTACTATCTCAGACTTATTATTCATGATGCATTAGTGCACATTACACACACAAAAAAGATTAAGAAGATGAACGTGCATCAGTGAATGCACTGCTGAAAAGTGCAAGAATGTAGACTTATTGTAAATGATGAAGTGGTTCATATTACTCAAAAAAAAGTCTTCGTATTTAAAAGCATCAAATTTTCATGCTGACTTTGAAAGGTTCAGGAACTTGCTTTCACTTTCAAATACTTTGGCAATCAGTTAAACTATTCTCCTACATGGCAGGACTGAAATGGGTCGTGGTGGCCTATCAGTTAAAGGCAGAGCCCCCAAAGATGTGACGTTACTGAGACCATCACCATTACGCAGGTCACTAAAATAGACAAAGCAAGTTGCTTAGGACACCTGCCAAACGAAAGTAATCAAACATCTCTGAACGGTCCCATCATGATAGCTTCCAGCCACGTCAGGATTAGCATCAGAGGCACGCTTCCTTCTTCTGGTTTTCCACATTATGTGGCATGGAGCAGATTACCAGGATCAGATTATCTCCAGCACGTTCATTCATAGACAAGCTTGCCCCCTATTTATACCTAACTTTCCCACTATTACAACAATGCAGCCTGGCAATCCTTGTTCATCTGCTTACAGCACCAGTGCTACAGTGAGCCGTCAACATCAGCATCATGCTAGGGGGTCCATGAGAAAACATGAAAAATGTCAAAATAAATTATTTACTAAATAAAATAAGAAAAGATTTAAAAACGGATTAAATATAATCAAATAAGTTATCCAAAACTATCAAACACTTAAATAATTAAATTAAATACAATACTATAACAATCCTATAATAAGTAAAAAAAAAAAAACATCATAATGTAACTTAAAAGAAACTAGATATTTTAGACGTGATTATAATATTAATTTTTCATAGTATAACTTGGGTCTTTACGCATGGGTGTTCCCTCGCACAAGGATAATCATTGGGGATCTGTGGCATCTAGAAGATTGCAAATTCATCATTTCATAAACTTATTTAAACCTGTATTTGATTATCTAATTTGTATAAAATATGCACTTTTTTTTATCATTTTGAATGCACTTGTTACAACACACACAGTTCCTGTAAAGATCTGGGCTGTTAAACCCATTTGCAAAAGGACATGTCACTGGTCCAGGCAGGGATGAACAAACATGACCAGGCCTCTGCTATTCCTTCACATCAAGAAATCATTTATATCTTCTATGTTTTAAAAATACACATTTCAATGTGAGGAAACGTTTGGCTGACAGCTGACCAGGTTTACCATCCACCACAGATAATGAAACCATCGTGCTTTTTTAATGGATTACACAATGAAATACTTTAAACAACCCATATGGAACAATATAACTAATACTTTAATATAATTAAGCGTCTCAACATTTCACAAATCATGCTTACCAGTTGATGAAACCGTTATTAAACGCTAACGTTAGTCAAAACAGACGGTAAGGACACCGGCTTCCCTAAAATGTTCTATCAATTCACTCAGGATTTACCACCAGCCACCGGTAACAGATTAACATCCACTCACCGTGTGAGAAATTGCCGTTTTCATGTTTACAGTAACCGCAGCGATAGCCGTCATCTCCCCCGAAATACTCCACTATACTGTACGACCCACCCGCTGCCATTTCCACGCTCCCTCAGCAGCGCCCAGAAACATATTATAAAGGCACCCTACTATTAGAAAGGCCTGCTTCATGAATATTAATTACGCTGCATGACGTTCACACAGTGCGCGTCTCTGATTGGTCTGACATGCTGAAACCCCGCCGTTAGTAGGTGGGCGCTTGAAAAACGAAATAAATTATTAATATTAATAAGGTGACGTGATTGGACGTCCCAAAAAGATAAGGAAGCAACGTCAGCAGAACACAATTAATATTAACGAACAAAACATTTCGCCGTGTATGATTCGAGCGCATGATTTTAAACGCAGTTTTACATGACCTGGCCCAGGAAGCACTGATTTATTCTACATTTCCTGTTGTGGTAAAAGCCCCCTAAAAAAAGCAATAAAACATCTATGATTCAAAACTATCGTTTTGAACGCTTCCAAAATACTGTAACTTGCCTTGTTCATATTCACAAAAATGGACTGTACACGAAAATGACTATGTTATTGTGTTTTGTAATTTACTTGTTTGTTTTGTGTATACTTTATACCATGCAGCTTCACTTACCGTATGAAGCTTTACCTCCTGCATTTCCACAGTAGCCACAGCGATATCCACACTTTACACCTTTGAGCTCCACTATAGAGTACATTTCCCGAGGTATCCGTCTTGCTGGCGTCTATAGTATATGCCATGCGAAACTGTCTCTGTAGTGTTAAAAAGGTGCACTGTGAAATCCCCCTCTCAGACAACGTTGGTAGTTTGTTTATGTGCAGCCAGTGATGGCGCATTCAAAACATCAGGCAACACGCAGGCTGACGTGAAGTGTGATTCACATTTGTGCGTTATAAGTTAAACTAAAATTACATAAATGAAAACTAAATATCCCTAAAGGACCGAAAACGGCGAGATAGGACAGCTCTACAAAATAAGAACATGTTCGAAGGATTGGAGATGTTTTCATAGCCACTAGAGGGCGGTGCATGCACTGTTGTGGAGCGTATTATAACTTCATTCCCTTTTTAAAAATATTTTAATATTTATAAATATTTTCTTATTTTTAAAAATACTTGGAATTTTAAATGATTCATATTATTATAATATTCTGCACTTATTTTGTGTACAATACTTATATTGTGAGTAAATGAAATCATCCCAATAAAGTACTTTAAAAATAGTTTTGGAAAAAGACGTTTCCTCCTGTGTTTTTAACTTTAACAATAGATTATTTTAGTTGGTTATAGCTGTGCGTATCAACCACCACCAGGTGGCAAAGTCGTTTAAAAAAACGAATGTGTCCGAACAATTCCGACAAAATCCGAGGTAAACCGAACACCAACCGAGCCTGCGCAACAGACTTCGAAAGCGGAGCCGAATGCGACCGAAAGAATCCGAAGACGGCCGAACTTGGACGACGCCCCAGCTGGGAAACAGTTCGTGGGTTGCCTATCAACCGCTCATACACCGGCCCGACCCATCACAGCCATTCTAGGGCTTGTTGAGTGTCACTCAGCAAGCGTACAGATGAGACACTAACTGAATGATGGACTAATCCTCGGCATTTTGTTTTTCCGATCACTATTAAATCGTTCTGAGCAAATACCGAACTGGAATTTTGAGAGTATTACGGTTATTTTGGGATATTACTGAAGTAGCTAGCCGAGAGCTACTTTGGCTTTGACCACTGCGGCCAGGTGAGTTAGCTTAACTTGTACCATCTAAACTAACTAGTTTACGCGTTGTCAGTCTGATAATTGTGTTGTCTAGTAGAAATAAATTTGTTAATAAACATGCTGATGAGAAATCACCCCGCCTAAGTGGCTAACAGTTCGGCTAGGTCGCATTAGCTGTAGCTAAGTATTTAACTTTATTCATAAGTATTTTTTTTTAAAGATAGATCGATACATAATTACTTGTTATATATCTTTAATAATGACTAAATATAGTAGTCTCACTCACAACAATCGAACTATAGCTACCATGGTTATTTTGACGTTAGTTGGCAGCATGGGTTGATTAGCCTCTCTTTATTTAGCTGCAGCTGTTTTTCTAAAAGTCTAGTAAATGTTGATGGGATTTGCTGTGGTTAATATTGAGTTGGAGGTACTTGAGGTGATATAATGTGGCATAACTAATCTGCCGATTAGTGTCAATCCTCACCAGCATCATGACAGATTATGGTGCACTCTAGTGACACATATTCTGATCCATTTGACTAGATTATGACTAGGGCTTTATGAAGGGATCTAAACCAAAGGTGATTTAATGTTTTGTTTTTTGTTTTGTTTTTTAATTTTACATATGAATACCGAATCAAACAGTTTAAAGCAGGGGGTTGAAATTGGGGTCTGTAAGAAAATATAAATAAATAATAAAAACCAAACTAAATCAACCAGTAAGTAAATATGATAAAACATTTTATTGATTTAAATAAATAATACATTTAACATTGTAGTACTATTATAGTGGGTAGAATAATAAGTAATAGAAACTAAATATTTTCCAAATAATATCTGACACATATTTATAATTTTAATTTTTCACAGTATGAATCGGGTCTTTATACGTTGGACATATATAGCTGCATTTTAGATTTTAAGATTAAGTAATTATATTTGGCAGTCATGGCATTTACAAGATGGAAAACCCCTGGTAAAGACTGGAAAAAAAAATAGAAGTTGTAAATAAAGTTATTAAAGTTTACCAGAGTACGGTTCACAAGAAAATATGATTTCAGTCTTTCCACTAAAAAATCTCATCTTTAATTCAATGTTACTTGCCATTTCTTTATAAATAGTTGTCAAATTTACAGTACTAGCAATTTCTGTGAAAAAAAAAAAAAGTCAAAATTGTTTCACCACCAACTTTTCAGCGTTGAGCGATCAGAAAAGCTTGATAATGTAGTTTTGTGTACTACGGTAATTAGTTACTTTGACTTCTTAATCTATGGCATGTTTCAGAACGAAATCACTTTTAACCGGCAGCTTTTTACTTGTTTTGTGCCTTGAGTTTAACAAGTTGTTTATTAGTGTTCCACTGACTCTGTGATATGTTAAAACTTTACAAAACCTTCAATCTGCCAAGTTTGATTATCCTGTGGCAAATCACTCAGTTGCTGTTGTAGTAGCAGAAGGTTGCTCAATGTTTTCTGCTGCTGCTCTGTGATCCTTGCGTTTGGCCTCCGGCGCAGCTTAGCGCAACGAAAATCAATATATTGAGCTCATTGGTGTCTTGGAGATGGCTTCTAGAAATTGGATACAGTTTTAAAACTGTTTCAGTGCATTTTAAAATTATAAAGGCTTCACTTCAAGTTTAATATTATCTCTGGAGTCAGAATGCAGCTTACCCTTTGGGCTTGGCTGCAGTTTATGAAATGAGGAGAATGTCAGATCTTCCAAAGCTCCTTTCAACCAGGTCTTGTTCAGCAACGCAACAGCTGCTCCTGGGGCTCACCATATGTTCCATTTGTCACACCTCACATCCTGTCTTCTCCCTGACGCGAATGTACAGTTTGCATGGTATAGCAAACAAGATTCAAATGTACTGCCTCCATGTGAGCCCTAGTGATGTTGCCCTCAAGCTTTATTAGTAGTCAATGGCAGTTACTAATATCAAGAGCCCAGAGCAAAAGACTGACCATGCTCTATTTGCTGACTCAAAATAAACACTTATTTACATTAGCATCGAATTCACTACATTTTGGAAGCATAAATGATTGTATTTTTTAAAAGACTGTAAAATGCTATGATGAAATCCTGTCGGTTAATGGTACTAACAGAGATATAAAACACTAATGGGACATAAAATACTGTTAAATGTGCAATTTTTCTTAATTAAAAATAACAAGTCATCTTATAAGTTACAGTGGAGAAAAAAAAACGTAATATGACATTGCCAGAATTACCTGTAACACTTCACCTTTGCCACCTGTGTTTTTATGGTGTTTGTCAGTATCATAAAGGTACAAAATATATTAGTAGTACTTTGATCTATTAAAAGGGTCATATGATGCGATTTCAATTTTTCCTTTCTCTTTGGAGTGTTACAAGCTCTTGGTGCATAAAGAAGATCTTGTTGTTATTATTATTATTATTATTCTCTCTTATTTATTCATTTATTTTTTGTGGGTTTCATGCTGTCCGCTAAGGCATAGGATACACAAAGGCTTTCCTCCTCACCAACAACATTAAAAACCGTGTCTACACCGGACGCGAGCAGCAAAATACAGTAGTAGAACCCAACCCATTATAATCAGTGATGCTGTCTACACTGGATGCGGCGCGACACGACAAATCCCAACATTAAACTGATGCCTTGCCCTTGTTCTATTTATGACGTACTGACACAAAGTTCAAA